GCATTTTCCGGTGCCTTAAATTATCATTTCAGCTTTTTTTTTTCAGCAGTTACAAAAAATTCGTAAAAACTCCCTCTAATTAACAATTAATCCCCTGTATCTTAAATTATCATATCAGCTTTTTTTTCCTCAGCAGTCACAATATAAATTAGTAAAAATCACTCAAACCAACAATTCCCGGTATCTTAAATTATCATTTCAGCTTTTTTTTTCCCAACAGTTACAATAGCACTAAACGTTTGTAAAAATTCTTCTAAACAGCATTTTCCGGTGCCTTAAATTATCATTTCAGCTTTTTTTTTTCAGCAGTTACAAAAAATTCGTAAAAAATCCCTCTAATCAACAATTAATTCCCTGTATCTTAAATTATCATTTCATTTTTTAAAGCAGTTACAATAGCACTAAAAGTTTGTAAAAAATCCCTCAAACCAATAATTTTTGGTTTCCAAATCATCATCAGTTTTTTTTTTTCAGTTACAATAGCTCTAAAAATTTGTAAAAATCAATTTAACTAGCAATCGAAAAATTCAATCGTTTTATGTAGCCTTTTGGAGGAAAAAAAAATCCACGTCGACCTCGTTTTTCTACACATAAATGCCAACAGCTTTGTGTTTTACTGAATACAGTAATAAATCATACTCAAGTGCTTTTTTTATCACAAAAAAATTCAGCATCTAGAATCTGAAATGAAATCTTTACCTTCTCTCTTAATTGTTCATATCACATTTATTGCTCACGAAGTTCATTCTTTCGTTGTACACATTTCACCCTATGATGCAATTGATTTTCTGAATATTTGATGTTATCCCTGTGAACATATATTACAAATAAAATCTGTCAGATAAAAATATGTTTTCAATCAATTTTGAGTATAAACACGATATTTTGACATGTTAATAACATGAGTATTTGATTCATAACATTTAGTGGAATACAAATAAATGTTTCATTTCTTTATGTGGGGAAAATATTATATAAGATTTCGAATTCCCTGTGACCACAGAGTTCTATTAAAAATAAAATGGCTAAGTAATTATGATGTTTTCAATCAATTTTGTGGGGAAACACAATATTTTGACATGTTTATAACAAAGCTATTTGATCGGTAACTGGAATATTTAGCGGAATACAAATGATTGTTTCATTTCTTTATTTCAGGAAAATATTATATAAGATTTCGATTTCCCTGTGATCACAGAGTTCTATTAAAAATAAAGGGTCTAAATAATTATGATGTTTTCCATCAATTTTGAGGGTAAACGCAATATTTTTACATGTTTATAACAGAGGTATTTGATCGGTAACTGGAATATTTGCGGAATACAAATGTATCATTACTTTAATTCAGGAAATTATTATATAAGACTTCAAATTCAAGTTTTAGTTAAAAATTTGCAAATAGTTATTACTTTTATTTCATTTTGGTTTATTTTTGTTTGGTTCATTTGATTTAATTTTGAAACACAATATTTTGGCTTATTTTATTTAATTTTGAAACACAATATTTTGGCATTTTTATAACAAAGGTATTTGATCGGTATTTGCGGAAAACAAATGTATCATTACTTTATTTCAGGAAATTATTATATAAGATTTCGAAGTCATGTTATAAAAGATTTCAAATTCAAGTTTTAGTTAAAAAACTTGCAAATAGTTATTACTTTTATTTAATTTTGGTTTATTTTTGTTTGGTTTATTTAATTTAATTTTGAAACACAATATTTCGGCTTATTTTATTTAATTTTGAAACACAATATTTTGGCATTTTTATAACAAAGGTATTTGATCGGTATTTGCGGAAAACAAATGTATCATTACTTTATTTCAGGAAATTATTATATAAGATTTCGAAGTCACGTTATAAAGATTTTTCATTTTAAAACTTATATCTATTTATTACTTTTACTTAGTTTTGGTTTATTTTTCAAAATTTTTCTAAAAAAAAATTCTTCCTTATCTACGATTTTTTGAAAACTCAAATTAATAATAATTATTTGACTCATAGTATGGTAATCAATGTTAAATTGTATTTAATCATCTTATGTCGCTTTCAATGATATAACTTACAATGATACGAAACAAAACTTTGCATTGTACACAATAATATTTTATAGCACATAAAGTTTTTATAGCACATTCTAATTTAAAATGCGCTTTAGGGTGCCCTGCCTTGATGCCGAACTCTGACTAACTGTGGATTGTTATTGCAGAAAACTCACCGTTGAGTCTATTTCCTAATCACTTAACTTAGGGAGGGCATCTTGATCCATAAAATTTGATGATTCTTAACCGGTGGGGATTGATTGCGTCATCAAGTGTGAGACCATCCTATTATTCAATTAGGCTCCATCAGTTTTGCCGGATGACGTGTTAAGTGAGGGACGATATCATGGCTTGTTCTTGAAGATTGCTTCATATGGAAGCTGGACGTTGGTTTGGAAGTGCAAGAAAACAATTTATCTGAACGGATGTCCGTTCGAGGCCTGGATTATTTCTTTTTCTTTTTTCCATATCTTGCCATTATATTTGATTTTCTTTTTTTAATAGTAGAGGAAGGAAGATTGCGTTTGCTTGGCGCAATTTTTTTTTTACTTCTTCAGAGCGTTAAGTGGACCAACTTCCTCATTGCTAAGTGAAAGTTCGAAAATAATGTAGGAGAGTGTTAACCGCATCCCTGATTAGCCCGAGTTAACTTGGATATGTATATATTGAAAATCTTTATTATCCCGAGAAAATTCGGATGTGGCGGAATTTGCCGGTATGTTTTGTTTTATTGCGTTTTTACTCAACTGGAAGCAAATAAATAAATAAATAAATAAGTAAAATAAAATAAAATAAAAAAGTAAAATGAAATAAAATAAAATAAAATAAAATAAAATAAAATAAAAAATAAAATAAAATAAAATAAAATAAAAAAATAAAATAAAAAAAATAAAAAAATAAAATAAAATAAAAAAAATTAAAAAATAAAATAAAGAAATAAAATAAAATAAAATAAAAAATAAAATAAAATAAAATTAAATTAAATTAAATTAAATTAAATTTTAAAAAAAATAAATAAAATAGAAAAAAATATAAAGAAATAAAATAAAATAATAAAATAAATAAAATTAAATTAAAATAAATAATAAATAAAATAAAAAAAATAAATAAATAAATAAAATAAATAAATAAATAAAATAAATAATACTAATTTGAGCCGCGATAGCTCAGGGGATTGAGCTTTCGCCTTCCTATGAGGCGAACCGGGTTCGAATCCCAGTCAATACGAATTCTGAGTCCGGCTTGCACCGACCACAGTGCTGACGTGAAATATCCTCAGTGGTAGACGGATCATGGGTTAGAGTTCCTTTGCCGTCAGACTAACCGTAGGAGGTTCTCGTGGTCTTTCTTTCCATGTAAATGCGGGTTAATTAAATCAAATGTCCTCTACGAGGGAAATTTTTTTCCAATACTTGATCCTGGAGTTCCCTTGTTTTCTGGATTGGGTTCAAAATTACAAGGCTATGAAATTGAAAATTAGTAGTCGTAAACCCAAAAAATGGGGTCGGCTGTTCAAAGACAGTTATAAAATAAATAAAAATATATAAAATGAAATATTAGCTACGTGAAAATATCCAAGCTTACGTGGTTTTCCTCCCCATGTTACGCAAATGCGGGTTAGTTCCATCAAAAAGTCCTCCACGACATTTCACCCAATACTTGATCCTGGAGTTCCCTTGTCTTCTGGATTGGGTTCAAAATTACAAGGCTACGACGTTGAACATTAGCAGTCATAAACCCATAAAAATTGGGTCAGCTGTTCAATGACCGTTATAAAATAAAATAAAATAATAATAATTTGCTGTGCATGGAAGTTTGCCAAATTTTGTTTGGGAGTCATGCTGTTGGATTGTGGGACGTATTTTGTGTGATTGCATATACGATAGTTGCTGAATTTACATTGAAAAAAAAAGAGTAAAAAAAAATTTCGTATCACTTCATTGGCTTTTTGAAACTATCACTTTTGTGTTGTTCCTTGTTTTAAAGACTATCATACAAAGACTAATATTAAACTTTTTTCCTTTGCCCGAAATAACTCGGGATAGTGAACTAATTGTAAATTAAATGTGTTTTTACACAAAAAAGAATTAAATAAATAATTAAATAAATTTTCAACTTTAAACTTGTATATACGTTTTGTTTTAGTTCCTTGTATTTATTAATTAATGAAATAAAAAAAATATGTTGATTTTTTGCATTTCCCCTCCCAAAAAAAATTTGGTAAGAGAAGCGGTTAAAAAAGAGAGAGATGAGTGAATTTCCAACTGATATTCCGTGAAATGAGAAAAAATAAATTCGATAATGTTCCATATAGTTGAATTACTTAAAAATATTGAATTTCAGTAATATCGGGAACTATTAATTCGAGAGAAAAAAAAGGGCAGTAGGAACATTTTTTTGGAAGTGTTAACTCCTTACGACTCCCACTATTTGTTAACTAAAACAAAGGTGTTCAAGTCAGAGGCTGAACTAGATCAGTGTTCCTCTATCATTTGAACAATTTTCGTCTGTACTAATTCCTATTGAACGATTCGCATTCTTATACCTATGAAAATGTATTCATATTGGTTACATTTGTAACTCATTTATCATAGATGGATTTCCAAAAGTAATTAATAAGTGACGTCAGCTTAGACATCTCTATACAGCAATTCTTTACTTTTTACCTGTTAATAAATAGTTATCATTGCGGAGAGATTATTTCTAAGAACTGTTCTTACTTGCATTTATTTTTAAATAAGTAGCATTTCCTATAGAAAATATATAGCTACATTCTTAGAAAATTCTAAATTTTTATAGAAAATAGCTACATTCTTAGAAAATTCTACATTTTTTAGAAAATAGCTACATTCTTAGAAAATTCTACATTTCTTAGAAAATAGCTACATTCAACTTTTTTTTCCTGATGTATTCTATTACTTTTGATAACCGTTTAATGACTTTTTTTTATCTTACAGGTTATTGTGAATCATGGCCGATGATTCGCCAGGAAAAGTTCAAGCTTTGCGTGCTATGTTTTCTGAAAAAAATAATCCATTAATGGGAATGATGCCACCTGGTGGTAAATTATCAAATAGGCCTTGGAAAGGTGTCGTAGATACGACAGAAAATATATCCTCACTAAAAGAAAAAATCATTCGTGAACAAAAGACTCCACAATTCAACAATGCCAATAAGGTGTTGCCATTTCCAATTTCTAAAAACTCCACAACTAAAGGCGACGTAAATAAAGAAACCAATGGAGCTGACTTGAAAATACCAAATAAAGTTTTACCTAAACCCTATATAGGACCAAAACCTACAAATATGTCTCAACAAATTAGGACTAATTCCACGCTAAGTGCAGTGTCTGAATCTCAAGAATTAATTATGACTAATGGAAATAAAACAATTAGTGATAGTCAAGCTCTTCTGAACTCTCAAGCCAAATCTAAAGTAGTCGCCGAAACTATCGCCTCTTTTATGTTTTCCAATGGTTTTAGTCTTAAAGAAAATGAATCTATGTCAACTAACGCCAATAACAAAAACAATCAACCGCCGATACCAAAGCCAAGAAGCTCTCTATCGCGAACAAACTTGCAAGACCAGCTTAATGTGATAAATTCTCAAAGTAATCGAGTGTCAAAGTCTAGTTCCGATACTTTAAGTGATATAATTAGTTCAGATAATTATATTTGTAAAAGTAACTGTAACTTTAGACGGAAAGAGCTGCCATCTTTAGAATCTCTGGGTCCTGCTCCAGCAAAACCACCAAAACCCTCTCATATGGTACTGCCAGCAAAATATTGCTCTTCTAACTCTTCTGAATCGCTTGCAAGTATTCGAAGTAGTCAACCACCTCAGCATCCACCTCCTGCATTACCACATAATTTTACACCTCCAGTTCCTCAAAGACCTGGTTATCGTAAGTATCGATATATTTTTTTTATTTCATATTTCATAACCATCGTTGAACAGACGACCCAATTTTTTTTTTGAAGTTTACGACTACTAATGTGCCTTGTACGACTACTAATGTGCCTCCATAGCCTTGAAATTTTGAACCCAATCCAGAACACAAGGGAACTTCTGGATCAAGTATTGCGATAAATTTGCCTTCGTGGAGGACTTTTTGATGGAACTAATCCGTATTTGCGTTACATGGGGAGGAAAGCCTCCCTGGAAATCATATAAACATGGCCGCTGGTTACTCTAACCCTAATTTGATGGAACAGCTGAATTTAAAATGCTCATTAGTCCTTCCAGAGGCCAAAAAAGACTCACCTGAGATGCCTTGGAGAATTACATAGTGATTTTAATAGAAATTATAGAAAAATAAAGGAAATACAATTGTTTTATTTGAAGATATTTAGAGCTTGTTATGGAGACGTCGTTCCCTAATGCTGGCTGGAGCAGCTACGGGAAGGGGACTCTAACCTATGATCCGTTTACCACTGAGGATATTTTTGTCAGCACTGTGGTCGGTGCAAGCCGGGTGCGGAATTCGTATCGACCAGCCATTGCTGGGATTCGATCCTGGTTCACCTCATTGGAAGGCGAACTATCTATCCCCTGAGCCATCACGGTTCAGTATCGCTAAATAGTGACAGTTTACCAATTTATGGTGCCGTTTTGGATATCAAGATCATTCTAAAGAGTAAAGTAAATTATCATCTGACAAAGCCTCACAGTTCTTTCGAAATTCCAACGCAAAATCTTTGACTATCTCAGTCCATAAGTTGTCTCACTGTTAGTTTCAGACTTGTGAACAACTAGAATGACAATCATGACGGTGTAAAGTTGTGGACGAATTGGCGACTTGTCAGATCAAAACATTCCTTACTTTCAGAAGGAATTTAGTATATACTATATGTTTCTGAATTATAAATAATATGTTTCGAATAAAACTATGTTAAATTTCCATAGGCGGATCGCAATGTTCGAGTACGCCATCTGGAGAGAAGACCAGCTCCATGCTTTTGGCCCTTCTCCCTTCCCTCTCCTCCTCTTTTCAGTTGTATTGGAATGTACTACGATATTTTTCCTTTTCTCAATATTTTTCGTTTTTTATTAATAATTTTTTTTTTTAAATTTCCATGAAGCTTTCTTTTGGAACTATGTTTAATGTAGTTTTCAGTTCCATATAGTTTCCCAACGCAAAAGATTTTATGAAAATCAAAACAGAAACTAACGTTCTTCCTTCTTCTATGACTCTCCACACGCTAATGGCGAAAGCATGCGAAGTGTTGCCATGGGTAGAGAGTTCTGCTCTACGCCACCTGTAGCCCATTTCGATCGGCAATACAACTTCACTGATTAAATAAATACTTCAGCACAACTACTTTTGCATTACTTTTACGAAAATTTTCGAAATAATGTTTTATTGTAAAACAGAATTCGGTTAAAATATTAAATATGTATCTGTAAAATGACAAAATAGTTAATTTAGCAATTTACTGCTGCATTTTATTTATCGTCTGATTTTGTTTTCCAGCCTGTCCACCAAGGCCTCACACTCCTCCTCCATTACCCCCTTCACAAATACCCACAGCCCCTGTCATCAAACCCAAGCTATCATTAAGGGAAGAGATAGAAGAACTGTACGAAGATACTCTGTTAGAACATTGTAGGCGGCCTGTTTCACTTATGTAAGTCTCCTTCAACTCACCTCCAATTAATCCTTTTATAAGTTATCTGTGTGATTACTGCCGCAATCCGTTTCAGTTGCATCAATCAGCTTCAAAATAAAAATCCTTTTATAAGTTATCTGTGTGATTACTGGCGCAATCCGTTTCAGTTGCCCTAATCTGCTTCAAAAAAAAATCCTTTTATAAGTTATCTGTGTGATTACTGCCGCAATCCGTTTCAGTTGCTCTAATCCGCTTCAAAATAAAAATCCTTTTATAAGTTATCTGTGTGATTACTGCCGCAATCCGTTTCAGTTGCTTCAATCTGCTTAAAAAAAATCCTTTTTATAAGTTATCTGTGTGATTACTGCCGCAATCCGTTTCAGTTGCATCAATCTGCTTCAAAATAAAAATCCTTTTATAAGTGTGTTACTGCTATTTATGTGATTACTGCCGCAATCCGTTTCAGTTACATCCATCTGCTTCAAAATAAAAAATCCTTTTATAACTTATCTGTGTGATTACTGCCGCAATCCGTTTCAGTTGTCCCAATCTGCTTCAAAATAAAAAATCCTTTTATAAGTTATCTGTGTGATTACTGCCGCAATCCGTTTCAGTTACATCAGTCTGCTTCAAAATAAAAATCCTTTTATAAGTTATCTGTGTGATTACTGCCGCAATCCATTTCAGTTGCCCCAATCTGCCTCAAAATAAATAAAAAAAATTTGCACAAGGTTAATCCAAAAATGTACCGACTTCGTAGGATTTGAGGTTGCTTCAACCTTTCCAGTAATTTCCAACGTCCAATAAATAATCATAGGTACCGATTTTTTTAGAAGTTCAGATGTTTCCAACTTTCTCAATAATTTCCGAAGCTCATAGGACGACTTACGGTACATAAAAAAGAAACCAGTACATGTTCTAGACCAGGGGTTTCCAACATGAGGACGGGGTCCGCAATTAAAAACACCAGTCAAATGGCGGGCAGCTCTTTTATGTTTGAGGGAACATTAAATATTACTGTCAGATTTTTATCAAGTATTGTCAGATATTTAACAAAAGTATTGAATTACAAATTAAAATAAGAAGTAGATTTTTAAAAATATTTAATTGCACATTAAAAAATTCTGGCTACAATAACTTTAATGTGCACCTATGTATTAAACAATCAATGTGCAACAGATATCAAATTGTTAAGATATAAAACTTAAAAGTATTTAAAACACATATAGATTTTCTACGAAAATTGACCGCAAAAAAATGACAACTAATATATTTTGGTTCGCGGACCACAAAAAAGGCCGGATGAGGCCTGCGGGCCGCCAGTTGGTAACCACTGTTCTAGACAGTTAAAGATAGCAAAACCCAAGCTGAAATTAAACGATGATAGAATCAATAATCAAATGAAATGCTCTATAAGTTATTAGAACAGAATTCCACCGTAGGCAGACGAACAGCAAAGAAATGTTTGAGCAATACTGTCACTTAAGATAGCTGAAACTATATTTATTGAGCTAATATTTGCTTATAAAGAAAATTCTATTCAATAGAGCATCTGCTTTGTGCCTTACCTTTAAGCATTTAAATAATAAACATTTTTTTTTATATTTAATCTAACATTTCTTGGGTTTCCATTTATAAAAGGTCGAACCACTTATCCTTTATTTCGCTTCATCTACGTCGCGCCCTTGGCATTTACTTAACTACCGGCTTCAGTTTAACCTTGCTATAATATCAAAGTTGTTTAAATAATTAGACGTTCGTATTTACTATGATTCAATATTGAAATTTAAACTGTGTGCGTCATTTACGTGTTGTTTATTTTACACGGTTATTAATGAATAAATTTTGCCTTTGACATTTTTAATTTAAAATAATGATGAATATGAAAATTTCAGTTAAAAAAAAACAACAAAAAAAAAACAAGAAAATAATTAAGATAGGGTTTTATTTATGTTCAGTGGGCAAAATAAATAAAAATTGAAAAACAAATTAAAAATAAAAGGACCAACCTTCAAAACTTGATTTTTAGGTTGCTAATCATCGGATTTTCATCGGATTCTAGGATTCAATCTTAATGGTCTAAGGGGGTGAATTCAAATATGCTGATTAATTAGTGCAGACAATATTTTAAGTTACGATAATGGACTTTCTCGGAATAAATAAACCTTTTAAAAAAAAATCAGATTTAGATTTCTGACCCCCGAAATATAGGGGGTAGCTGCAATCTGGGGAAATATAGTCCCCTTAGTTTGATCAGGAGAGTGCTCCTAAGTTTAGACCCCTTAATGTTAATTTTACTTTTTGCGTATTTCATTATATTTCGAGAACTTTTTAAGGGAATCGAAAAATTTTAGCGCAAATTTTAAAATTCGTTTATTTAAAGATAGCTTCATGCAAAATATAACTTTCAGCAAATATTTATTATTATTTTATTTAATAACAGTCGAAAAAATTTTGTAATGTAAGGTACGCAATTTTGTACATCATTTTAAATAATGCGGTTTTAAATGGCAAACAAAATACGAAAATTGAGCGAAATCGGTCGAATAGTTCCTGAGAAATCAAATTCTAAAAATACAACTTTAATTCCAACGATTATTATATTACCATCACATTACAATTTTCTATAAAATCTGATACCCTTAATGTTAATTTTTGCATTATTTCACCTTATTTCGTGGAACTTTTTAAGCAAATCGAAAAATTTTTGCAAAATATAACTCTGAGTAAATGTTTATTATTTTATTTAATAATTCGCAGTCGAAAAATCTCGAATTGTAAAGTATACAATTTTTTTTACTTCATTTTAAAGAATGCAATTTTGAACAGTAAAATACAAACTTTGAGCGAAATCGGTCTAACAGTTCCTGAGAAATCAGCTTTTAAAAAATATGACTTTTTTTTAACGCATTTTCAAAAATTATTATGTTACCATCGTATGACGGGGTGTGTAGCCAGATTTTTCAAGAAAAATAAAGCACCTTTTAAGTACTTTTTAAGCACTTTCCAAAAAAAAAAATTCTAATTAGGCTTAGTGCAGTAATAAAAATTATTTTTTTCACTTCGTTTTAAGTTCCTTATTTTATAATCATAAAATTCAAAAACATTTTCAAAAACTTGACATACTCATGATAAAAATAACTAGTTTTTGATAAATATTGTAGAGAAAATTGTGAAAATCATGCATTTTTTTGTAATTTACGACGACAATCGATACGGCAAAGAAAAAATCTCTTTGTAAAAAATAGACAACTATGCACTTTTCACAGATCCCGATTAAAAAGAGTACCTTTAAGGGCTTTTAAAAAAAGTAAATCAAAAATAAGCACCTTTAACCCCTTACTAGTGTCACCCGAATCCAGTTCGGGCACACGTCTCTATTTTGTGAAGCCCGAGCTGAGTTAGTTTCTACTTTAGAATACTTACATCACTATTTTCCTAATAGATGGCATTAGTGGTCCTAGTTTTTCACCAATTACGACTTCAGTCGCGGGAGGGAAATGTGGGTGGGGGTTTTGGTATATACCATACTGTAAAAGATATGTAAAATTTATGTATTGAAAATCATATTGTTGTGTTTTTATATTATATTACACTAGTTATATTATATTTAGCTTCAAATGTTTTTTAAATTTGTTCTGATTGAATAAGATGTGTGTGTAATCCATTACTTTTATTTGTGCATGTAAAAATTATAAATACAGTAGTTATTGCATTTAAAATTTTATTTTTATAATAAAAAACCGTTTTCTAACTTTTATAATAATATAAAGAACAAAATTAAACAGGCAAAAAAATTTTCCATTTTTCTGAAATATATGTCATTGTTAAAGGGTTAATCACTTTTTAAAAACGCTACGCACCCTGTATTATGATATTCTATAAAATGTGATATGCTCTCCAACTGCAATGCTTAAAATTTTCTTACTGATTATTTCTTTTGTTTTTCAAACTATTTTCTTAATTCTTTTTTTTTCAGACCTGAGTATACAGAAGAGGAAGAGGCTGAAGAGCTTTATAATGATGCGGATGACGTCACTACATTCTCACCTCCATCAACATTACTCATTAAACCAAAAAACCCACCTCCTCCCTGCCCTTCTGAATACTTACAGCCAAATGTCCATAGCTCAACCGGTAATAACTCATTACAAACATGTCATTATATTCGCATTTTGAATTACTACTTTTGCATTACAAATGTGTCTGGGAAAGTTAATGGTTAGCACGCCCTTTGATATTAATGAATCATTAAGTTAGCACGCAACCATATTCCGCTAAATTGAAGTTATTTAATTCTATAAAAAGAGTCGTATATTTGAGTCGTGGTAGATATGGAGATAGCGCGCTCGCTTCCCAATGAGATCACCGGGTTCGAATCCCAGCAATGGCAGATAGTTACGAAATCCGCACCCATCTCGCACAGGCCACAACTGATATCTGCTAACGTAAAATATGCTCAGTCAAAGGCATTTTCTCCCAATACTTCATCCACTGAGCCGAGATGGCTCAGGGGATAGAACATTCGCCTTCCAATGAGGTGAATCGGGTTCGAATCCCAGCAATGGCTAGTTGATAAGAATCCGCATCCGGCTTGCACAGACGACAGTTCTGACGTGAAATATCCTTTGTCGTAGACGGGTCATGGGTTAGAGTCCCTTTGCTGTCAGACTAACCATGGGAAGTTCTCTTGGTTTTCCTCTCCATGTAACGCAAATGAAAGTTAGTTCCATTGAAAAGTCCTCCACGAAGGCTAATTCACCCGATACTTGATCCAGGAGTTCCCTTGTCCTCTGGATTGGGGTCAAAATGATAAGGCTACGGAGTTGAACATTAGTAGTCGTAAACCTAAAAACTGAGTCGGCTGTTCAACGACCGTTATAGAATATATTTAAAAAAAATACTTTATCCAGGAGTTCCCTTGTCTTCTGGATTGGGTTCAAAATTACAAGGCTACGAAGTTGAATATTGGTAATCGTAAACTTAAAATTGTGTCGGCTGTTTTTTACGACGGTTATGATATAAAATAAAAATCACGTGTATTTATGTTGATGAAGAAAAAAGAAAGCTATCGGAAAATTGAAGGTTTTCTACACTGAAACAGTGAAAGGCTACAAAGAAGGGAGAAAAAAGTGTGGTAATGAGCAATGGATAGTTTCTTGCTTTAGCTTACTTTGGTTTTAAAAAGATATACCAGGAGAACATCAAATAACAATTGCTGTGCGTCTATATCTTCACCCTGCCAAGAAAACGGAAATTCGCCCTTTCGCATTGATCTGAAAGGTACTTTAACATTTAAAAAGTGGAAATTTTATACTGTTATCTACCACTTCAGCTATTGAAAGATTATGCAAGAGTTTCGTTGACGTAAATAGACGCACTTCATCAAAACTATGAATTGTGCTCACGGCATTTGTCGCTACGATGAGTTGTGGCAGTGACGAATTGTGTCTATGAAGATTTATGCTTGCGACGAATTATGCCCACGACGAGTTGTGCTCATGAATGACGAACTGAATGACAAATTGTGCATGATGAATTGGGTACTTGCGTTTTAAAAAGATCACGGATGCCCACACATGTGATTCTTGACGTCAGCACCAGCTGATCGTTTACAAGCAAAATGGCGTCTTAAAATTGAACTACGTTTCTACACATAAGTTAGAATGTTAATTGACGTGAAGTTAATTAAATACAGTGCCGTATCGCACATCGAGTTTATTAAAATATAATTTTTTCCTATCTACGTCTTTTTCTGTTGTTGTTGTCATTTGACTTTTGTCGTATGCCTGTGTAGGCAGTAGGGGTGCGATTGTTCCTGTTTTTCAGTGGCGCCATCTATGGCCAGGAATTCGACTTCTGCCACGCCATTCACACAACCACAACCCGTTTATAGGACTGGTCACTTTTGTCGTATGCCTGTTGAGGCAGTGGGGGTGCGATTGTTCCTGTTTTTCAGTGGCGCCATCTATGGCCAGGAATTCGACTTCTGCCACGCCATTCACACAACCACAACCCGTTTATAGGGCGGGTCACTATTGTCGTATGCCTGTTTAGGCAGAGGGGGTGCGATTGTTCCTGTTTTTCAGTGGCGCCATCTATGGCCAGGAATTCGACTTCTGCCACGCCATTCACACAACCCGTTTATAGGGCGGGTCACTTTTGTCGTATGCCTGTTTAGGCAGTGGGGGTGCGATTGTTCCTGTTTTTCAGTGGCGCCATCTATGGCCAG